ATATAGTTTCCAAGAATTTACAAAAATTTTAAAATATGTATAAAATAATTTTAAAAATTTCAGCTAAAGAAAATTTGGTTTAACCTTTTATTTATTTCCCCAAATTTTTCATACAAAGCGGAAATTTAAAATGTTAATGAAATCATTTAAACAAAACTAAATCATAATTGACACGTAAATGACAATATTTCCTAGATGAGTAAATTTTTCAAAGATTATTCACATCGAAACGTAATACAAAACCACCATTTAACCAATGAAAAGAAAAAACCCTGTGTCAACATAAACTAGAACAGGGTCAAACACAAGGATTCATTTATAAAAGAGGTCAATACAATATAAAAACGAATATTGACAAACTTTTATTTTACTTTTTTTTTCGTTGTTGTTGTTATTATTATTATATTTATTTCTTCATATCAAGGAAATAAATTTAATAAACTTGAATTATGAAAAAAAAAGAAATAAATATGAATGAATGATTGACTGTGTAATAATTGATTAACCTTTACAACAGTCGTCATACACATATACACACGTTTATAGTGTATCTAAGTTACAAATATGGAAATGCCCATATTGTAAATACAAGATTAATGAGTTTTTATCACTTATGAAATGTCTGAATAGACTAAAAACACTCTTTTTATTCCTACTCACAGTCACTATCAATCTCTCTCTGTCTCTCTCTTTCCCAGTCACCTACCTTTAAGGTGTATTTGGCTGCAATTGAGTAGAGTGTGTTGTTGTAGTAAGTAAATGTTAAAACAAATGAAAACATTATTGCAAAATGATTTTATTGTAAAAAGATACAATAACAACAAGGTAGGCAAGTCAATATTAACAGTAATGTTAATGTAGTGCTTTTAGCAAATAATAACAATCTTTGGTTTTTGAACATTTAAAAAATTTACCAAAAATTATTAATTTTCATTATTTTTATTGGAAAATTACTTTATATTCCAAATGTGCATTAAAATTTAAATTTTTTCGTATTTTGAAATTTTCGAACTTAACTTCGAATTTTCGAAAATGTTAGAAATTTATATATTTATTGAAAAATCTTGTTTAATTTAAGAAATTACATAAAAATTTTTAAAATTTTTATAATTTTATTGAAAAAATTGTCATAAAATGTTTAATTTTATGACAATTTTATCGTTATTTTTATACGAAAATTACTTTTTAATGCAAATTCGCTTTAAAATTTAATTTTTTTTCGAACTTCTTTAATGTTCGAAAATTGAAAAAAATTTATTAAAATGTTTAATTTTCGTTATTTTTATACGAAAATTACTTTATAGTGCAAATTCGCTTAAAAATTTAAATTTTTTCGAACTTCAAAATTTTCGAACTTAATTTCGACTTTTCGAAAAATTAAAAAATTAAAATTTTTATTGCAAAATTTTGTTTAACGTAAGAGATTTCATAAATATTTGCAAAAATTTTATAATTTGTTTGAAAATTTTGATGTTCGAAAATTTAAAATTTATAAGTTTTGGTTAGCAAAAATGCCTTTAAGAACAATTTTATATCGAGTAACTTAACTCTGCTAATTTTGAAATTTTCGAATTTAATTTCGAATTTTCGAACATTAAAAAAATTTGCCTAAAACTTGAAATTATCAAGTTTAAGTCACTAAATGTTTATATAACTACAATTTTCTATCTAAAAATTGAATTTTACTAATTACGAATTTTTCGAACTTAAGTTCGAATTTTCGAAAATTGAAAAATTTACGATTTTCAAATATCTTAATAAAGCAAAAATTATGAAATTCTACTGAAAAATTTGATGTTTGAAAATTTTCGAACTTCTGAAAATTTGCCTAAATATTGAGATTTTGAAATTTTAAAAACTAAAACTTTGCCTAAAATCAATATTACGCCTAAAAATTTAATTTTTCAAATTTCGAGTTTTTCGAACTTAAGTTCGAATTTTCGAAAATTGAAAAATGTAAATTTTTTCTTCTAAATCTTTATAGAATTTATGTCAATACCTTAATATAATGAATATAATACAAAGATTTCTTAATTTTACTTAAAATTTGTATGTTCGAAAATTTTCGAACATCAAAAAAATTTAACCTGAGGTCTATAAATTTGTTAGTTTTTATCAATGAACAACTTTAAAATGAATTTCTGTTTTTAAAATTAGGTTTTTTTAAAGTTAGAATTTTTCGAATTTTCGAAAATTGAAAAAAAAACTTACGTTTTTTCTTCCAAAAACTTAAAGTATTAATGTGAATACCTTAATATAGTCAAAAATTGCTTAATTTTACTGAAAAATTTCATGTTCGAAAATTTTCGAACTTCGAAAAAATTTGAAAAAAAAAACTTAAAATTTATAAGTTTTGTCATTAAAACTTGGTTTAAAGGCAATTTTCTACTTTAAAACTGCTTTTTACTAATTTCAAATTTTTCGAACTTAAGTTCGAATTTTCGAAATTTTCCAAGAACTTCCCTTTTTCTTCCAAAAACTTTAGGAGTTTACGAGAAAACCTTAATTTAGCCGAAAATTACTTAATTTTACTGAAAAATTTCATGTTCGAAAATTTTCGAACTATGAAAAAATTTGAAAAGCCTAAAATTTTGTAAGTTTTAGTCCCTATAACCTGGTTTAAAGGCAATTTTCTACTTTAAAACTGTTTTTTGCTAATATCGAATTTTTCGAACTTAAGTTCGAATTTTCGAAATTTTCCAAAAATGTCGGGTTTCTTCTAAAAACACGAGGAATTTATACGAATACCTTAATTTAGGCAAAATTTACTTAATTTTACTGAAAAATTTCATGTTCGAAAATTTTCGAACTTTGAAAAAATTTGAAAAAAACTGAAAATTTATAAATTTTAGTCTCTATAATCTGGTTTAAAGGCAATTTCCTACTTTAAAACTTTTTTTTTTGCTAATTTCGAATTTTTCGAACTTAAGTTCCAATTTTCGAAATTTTCCAAAAATGTCGGGTTTCTTCTAAGAACATGAGGTATTTATGCGAATACCTTAATTTAGGCAAAATTTGCCTAATTTTACTGAAAAATTTCATGTTCGAAATTTTTCAAACTTCGAAAAAATTTGAAAAAACCTAAAATTTGTAAGTTTTAGTCCCTATAACCTGGTTTAAAGGCAATTATCTACTTTAAAACTGTTTTTTTTTGCTAATTTCGAATTTTTCGAACTTAAGTTCGAATTTTCGAAATTTTCCAAAAATGTCGTTTTACTTCAAAAAATTTAAGGAATTTATGTGAATACTTTAATTTAGGCAAAATTTACTTAATTTTACTCAAAAATTTCATGTTTTCGAACTTCGAAAAAAAAATTTGAAAAAACTTAAAATTTTTAAGTTTTAGTCATTAAAACTTTGTTTAAAAGCAATTTTCTACTTTTTTGCTAATTTCGTATTTTTCGAACTTAAGTTCGAATTTTCGAAAATATTAAAAATAGAAGTTTTCAGTTTTTAACTAAATATTAGGGAAATTTGCTTAATTTCTTAGAAAAATGTAATGTTCGAAAATTTTCGAACAAGTGAAATTTATCTTACAAATTTTGTTCTAAAGAAAAAACTTTTAATTCTTTTGATTTTTAGCCTTGAAACAATTGACATCACTAACTATCATAAGTATTGGTAATAAATTATCTCCCTTGAGGCCTCTCTATCACTACCTCTCTCTTTCTCTCTCTCCCTTTTTGGCTTTTTATTACCTTTAACTCATTATCACAAATGTTTTGTTTTGGGTGATTGCTTTTTCATAACTTTTCCACATGTTTGTAACACATACTCTCTCACTCTTGCGCGCGCTCTCTCTCTCTCTTCCTTGAGTTATAAATTTAAGGAATTTATGCTCTCGACCTCTGTTAGTGAGTATACTAGAGCTATTAGTAGACATATACTCTTTTATTAAATTTTGTTGTAAAAAAAATGATTTCGCCATAAACATTTTGTTACACATTTTAGACATGTGAATGTTGAATCAGCAGCTACAGCAACAACTACAAAAAAAACCTTAAGAAAAACAAAAACAAACTTAAATAAATAAAATAAATGTGAAACGAGGAAACATTAACTAAACAGCAATAACAATAAAAACAACTACAACAAATATTAGCAGCAGCAGCAAAAGTAGAAACAAAAATTTAAATCGAAAGCCAACCAAACCAGCTCTTTATAAAATATTTAAGTATTTTTTTTTTAATTTTTTTGCTTGATGTTTGTAAGTGTATGTTTGAGAGTATCTGTGTGTATTTTAAGGCTAAATGTATGAGTAAGTATGTGTGTGAGTATGTGTGTAGTGAGTATCTGTAGCACTGAGTGTTTGTATTTTAAATTATATATTGAGCTGAACATAACGTGTGTTAACTTTTGATTATCATACATTTAGTTTATTATTAACTTTCGTACTGTTAGCATCGTGCGCTGGTTGTGTGTAGAACGATCTTTTCAGTTCGTTTATAATTTTTTTCTTTCAAATTGAAAATTAACAAAAAATTGTTTTTTGTTTTCCAAAGAAATTAATTCAACGTGAATATTTTACGTGTGTTTTCTTCTTCTCTGTTGCTTTTTATATAGTTAATAAATAAATTGTCATAATAAATATTTTATTATAAAAAAAAATTTAACAAAATCTATTTACGTTTAGTGTTTTATTCAATAAAAAGTTTTAAGCAAAAATTTAAAAAAAAAAATCTAAAAATTTTAAGAAAAAATTTATAAAAATTTTAAAAAAGTTTAATAAAACAAAAAAATTTTATAAAAAAAAGTTTTTATTCTTTAAAATAAAAGAAATTTATAAATTTAAACAAAATTATGAAAATTTTTTAAAAATAAAAAAACCCAAACTAAAGAGTTTCATTTAAATTATTAACAAAAACAAATTTTAAAACTTAATAAAAAAATTAAGTACAAAAATTAACAAGATTAAATTTTAACGAAAAAGAAAAAAAAATACAATTTTAAACAAAACAAATTTAAAATTTCAAAATAAAAAAAAATTTAACAAAAAGTAAAGTGATGTTAAGAATTTTATAAAATTTTGAATTTAAAAAAAAAAATCCCTTAAAAATTAAAAAAAAAGTGTTGTGCTAAAGAAAAAACAAAAAAACCCCTTTACAAATATATAAAAGAAAAAAAAAAGAAAAGAAAAATTCCTTTAGAAAATCTAAAAATGTTTGATCCCTTTGTGAAAATAAAGAAAAAGCAAAATATTGTGGTCAATGATTTAGAATCAATAGAAATAGTGGATGATTTAAATGAGAATTCTTCGGATTCGGATAATGATTGTTGCTGTTTAACACCGCCCCCTACAGCAGCTAACACACCCACAACACCCAAATCTCCTGCCACAGCAACTACAACAACGGCGGCGGCCACAGCAGCAGCCGCAGTACAAGCCATTGCTAATGAATTAGCCGCCTCTACCAGCAAAGCCTCAAGTACAAATGCAGCAGCAACATCCTCTTTAAATTTAAACAATTGTAGTCGTTTGCAACAATTAATAGCAGCACCGCCTATAATACAAACCACTCATCATCACCAGCAGCAGCAGCAGCAACAACAACAGCAATTGAATACACCACCCACACCACCGCCCTCTACACCACCAACACCTGCCTTACATAGATCGGAAATATTGCAACAACATTTACAGTCAGCCTGCAGCAATACAAAGGCCCATCTTAGCCCTTCACAACCTTCGGTATTACAACAACATTTGGGTCATTTGCCTACACAAGAAAGACCAAATTTACAAACTTTAACCCGTCATTTAACAACAACTGCAACACCTGCCTCTTCTCAATATTCTACTCTAAGCCAGCAATTGTCCTCCTCTTCCTCCTCCAGCTCATCTTCAACTTCTGCTAACAGCGGCTCCTTGTTGCAAGAAGTTTTTTCTAACCACAATTTACAAAATGTATTAAAAAGACAAAGTTCCTCAATAAGCAACGCGAGTACAAATTCTTCAACGTCTTCTTCTTCCTCTTCCTACTCTTCTTCGTCGTCTTCTTCTGCTGCTAGCACCACGGTCTCTTCTAATACAAATTCTACTTTAAGAAGTTTGGTTTCAAATCCCTCTTCTTTGATAACATCAAGTACAACTTTAAATAGTATTATAGCAAATCGTTTAAATTCGCCGCCAGCTTTAACCCACCATCATCAACAACAACAACAGCAACACTTAACTACCAGCCCTGCGAATTCCTCTAATACACCCACAGGGGGAGCAGCAACCTCTTCTTCATCCTCCTCCTCCTCTTCCGCTTCGTCTTCTTTATATCATCAGCAACATTCCGCTTTAACGAATTCTATAACCCATCGTATACATCAATCAATACGCCGACATTTAAATCAACAACAAAATCAAGCCTTGGCCACAAGTCAGCAGCAACAGCCAGTAGCTGCTCAACAACATCATCAGCATCAAAGAAGTCAACAACAGCAGCAGCAACAAAATTCTCAATTACAGCATCATCATCAACATCATCATCAGCATCATTCTTCGTCTTCGCAGCAGCAACATTCCTCTTCTAACGGATCTTCTTCTTCCTCCTCTTCTTCATCATCCTCTTCTTCTTCTTCAAATAACAATAATAATAATAATAACAATTCAACAAATTCTCCTTTATGTGTAGTATTATTGGTTAAATGTCCAAATTCTAAAGAATATTGTAATGCTTTACAACAGCAAAACAACAACAATCAAAATCAATTAATAAATCCCAATCCTGCAAGTGTAACTCAACAACAACATAACCACAACAACAACAACAATCATCACCACCAGCAACACCATCAACATCATCATCATCACCACCAACAACACTTACATTGCTGTGATAATAAAAGGTAATAAAAACAACAAATACTTTTTTTACTCTTAAAATATTTGCTCTTTTTTGTTAAGAGAGAGAGCATAAAAAAACACTCTTTTTCTTATACTTATAAAAGGGATTTTTTGTTGTTGTTGAAAGGCAAGAAAGCTTTGCTTTGTAAAGTAAACGAATATTTAATTTAATTCATTAGTTTTTTACTTAAAAAAATTACTTTTTTTAAATATATTTTAAAAATTAAAAAAAATCAAAATTAGTTTACTTTATAAACTTAATTTGTTTGTTGAAATAACTACAAAATTTCTTTTAGTTTTTTTAAAAAAAAATTTTTCAGAAAAAAATTAAAAAAAAAATTCTAAATATTAATTTTTCTTAAATTTCTAGCAAATTTTTGAAATATTTATAAATTTAGAAAAATTTATTGTGCCAAAAGAAAGTTTATTACAAAAACTAATTTCGATTTTTTTAAAACTCAACATTTTTTAAAAATATTAAATATTTTTTTAAATTTTTCAAAAATTTCTTCATATTTTTTTTATTTTTTCCTTTTTTTACGAAAATTTCTTTTCAATTTTTTATTAATTTTTCCGTGGTTTTCTTAAACCTTATAAAAGTTAATAAGATAAACTAATTTAAAATCTTAAAATTTTTTAAAAAATCCTTATTTTGATTTTTTTTTTTTAAATTTCCCACTTTCCACATTATATATTTTCTTAACATTTTTTTGTTTATTTTGTCACAAACTAGTTTTCTAAATTTCCTTTCAATTATTAACAATCCCACACCTCTCATCACAATAATTTACTCTACTCTACTTTACAGCCTGTTATTAATACTTTTTGTTGTTATTTCTCCTATAATTCTTGTTGTATTTAGTTAAGTTTTAATGTGGTTGTTGTTGTTCATCTCCTAGTTTTTTTTTTCTTTTTTGTGAAAAAAAGTTTAGCTCAGCCTAAAAAAGCACTAAATAAATGTTGACACACTTTTTCCTTAACACTCTTACATCCGTTCATATACATACATAGATATGTATATCCGTGTTATATGTATGTGTTTGTATGTATGTAGGTTTGTTTGTATTTTACTCTCTATTAAATGTTGAGGCGGTTGTGGTTGTTGCTGGTTTATTTAGTTAAGTTTTGGTAATATTTATTCCTTGTTATCAAAGGAATATGTAAAAGAAAAGAGAGAGTGGAGAGAGAGGAAAGTTTATTTTGAGACCATATGTAGCATCAGGCATGGAAAATTATGTATTATAGTACTTTTTAAAAGTAAAAAGTATCACAGTACATCCTCGACATATGATTGGTTATGCCAAAAACTAGTCCATAGACTAGTTCATAGACCAGTCCACGGTCTCGCACTAGACTATTCCATAAACTAGTAGATATACGTTAGACTAATACATAAACTAGTCAATAGACCATAGACAAGTCAATAGATTAGACAATATACGATTCCATATACTAATTGATAGACTGTAGACTAGTCTATAGACTTGTCTATAGACTGATCAATAGACTTGTCCAAAGACTAATCAATAGGCTAGTCCATAGACAAGATAATAGATTAGACAATACCCGATTTCATAGACTCCTCGTTAGACTGTAGACTAGTCAATACACTAGTCTATAGACAAGTCAATAGATTAGACAATACACGATTTTTCATAGTCTATAGACTAGAGCATAGCCTAGTCTATAGACTAGAGCATAGACTAGTCTATAGACTAGAGCATAAACTAGTCTATAGACTAGAGCATAAACTAGTCTATAGACTAGAGCATAAACTAGTCTATAGACTAGAGCATAAACTAGTCTATAGACTAGAGCATAAACTAGTCTATAGACTAGAGCATAGACTAGTATATAGACTAGAGCATAGACTAGTCTATATACTAGAGTAAAGACTAGTCTATAGACTAGAGTAAAGACTAGTCTATAGACTAGAGTAAAGACTAGTCTATAGACTAGAGTAAAGAAAAGACTAGTCTATAGACTAGAGTAAAGACTAGTCTATAGACTAGAGTAAAGACTAGTCTATAGACTAGAGTAAAGACTAGTCTATAGACTAGAGTAAAGACTAGTCTATAGACTAGAGTAAAGACTAGTCTATAGACTAGAGTAAAGACTAGTCTATAGACTAGAGTAAAGACTAGTCTATAGACTAGAGCATAGACTAGTCTATAGACTAGAGTAAAGACTAGTCTATAGACTAGAGTAAAGACTAGTCTATAGACTAGAGTAAAGACTAGTCTATAGACTAGAGTAAAGACTAGTCTATAGACTAGAGTAAAGAGTAGTCTATAGACTAGAGTAAAGACTAGTCTATAGACTAGAGTAAAGACTAGTCTATAGACTAGAGCATAGACTAGTCTATAGACTAGAGCATAGACTAGTCTATAGACTAGAGCATAGACTAGTCTATAGACTAGAGCATAGACTAGTCTATAAACTAGAGCATAGACTAGTCTATGGACTACAACATATACTAGTCTATAGACTATAGCATAGACTAGTCTATAGACTAGAGCATAGACTAGTATAGACTAGCATAAACTAGTCTATAGACTAGAGCATAAACTAGTCAATAGACTAGAGCATAGACTAGTATATAGACTAGAGCATAGACTAGTCTATAGACTAGAGTAAAGACTAGTCTATAGACTAGAGTAAAGACTAGTCTATAGACTAGAGCATAGACTAGTCTATAGACTATAGCATAGACTAGTCTATAGACTAGAGCATAGACTAGTCTATAGACTAGAGCATAGACTAGTCTATAGACTACAGCATAGACTAGTCTATAGACTACAGCATAGACTAGTCTATGGACTACAACATATACTAGTCTATAAACTAGAGCATAGACTAGTCTATGGACTACAACATATACTAGTCTATAGACTATAGCATAGACTAGTCTATAGACTAGAGCATAGACTAGTCTATAGACTAAAGTATAGACTAGCATAAACTGGTCTATAGACTAGAGCATAGACTAGTCTATAGACTAAAGTATAGACTAGCATAAACTGGTCTATAGACTTAAGCATAGACTAGCATAGACTGGTTTATAGACTAGAGCGTAGTCTATAGGCTAGAGCACAGACTAGTCTATAGACTAGAGCATAGACCTGTCCATAGAATAGAGCATAGACTAGTCTATAGACTAGATCAGATATGTCAATAGTTTAGACAATGGACGATTCCATAGACTAGTTCAGAGTCTACAGAGTAATCAATAGACTAGTCAATGGGTCAATTCAAAGGCCAATAGGTAAAAAGCTTAAAAGTTATTTAGTACTTTTATCCCTAAAAGAAAGTGCTATTTTTGGTAAAAGTTTGATTGAAGTCGAAAATTCAGTTTTCCATGCCTGAGATGTATGTTCTACACTAAATTAAATATCTCTTTTTTGTTTAGTCCTTTTTGTTTATCACTCGAATTGTTGTTGTTGTTAAGCTTAAAATGGCCTTTTTTGTAGGTTGTGAGGTCAAATCTATAAGAATGACAAGAACGACAATGATTTTCTTTTTTTTTAAATTTTAATCAACAAATGTTTAATGTACACATGAGAATGTGAGAGAGTATAGGTGGGTTTTAATGTATGACATTTTACTTATATGTGTGTGTAGGTTTATTTAACCTCAATTTGAATTTAGATTAAATATAATTTTTTTTCCTTATTTCCCTTTACGTTCTCACACTCTTGTTCAAGTTGTGGCAAGGAAATAGGAAGTGTTAAGGATTTTAACTAAAGTAAAAAATTTTTGCAAAAAAAAATCTTGTCATAATGTTAGAATAAATTGCGTTAAATATAAGGGAGAGGCCGGGCCTAAAACGCCCTTTACATTTTAATTTCCTAGCAAATATTTAACCTAAATTTAAACAATTGTTATAATATTATATAAAAAGGGGGACATTTTTAACCCCCAAAAATTATTTAAATTTTTTTTAAAATTATTTACAGGAAAGATTTCATATTTTACAATGAAATTTTTAACATTTTTCAAATTGTTTTTCCTGTCTTTTTTTTGTCTAAATTTATATCTTAAATAACCTTTATAATATACATTTATTATGTTAGTTTTAACTTAATATTATATTTATTATAAAATCATTAACATTTACTGTTAACTAAATGTATTTCCTTATTATTTTAAGGTTAACATTTTAGCCTTCAAATTGTTTTTTTAATTACTAGTTCTCACAGTCTAACTCTCTAGTAACAGCCTTCAGATAAATGTTAAACTATAAAATGTTTAACTAACATTTACCGTTAATTTTATGTTATTATTAACATTTTTAAATCATTAATGTTTACTTAACATTTATAAATGAAAATGTTAACTTAACATTTGTTTAACATTTACAAACATTTCTATTTGCAATTTGAAATAAAACATTCTTTATAATTAAGCTTTCGGAAAGCTTTATAATTAAGCTAATTTAGAATTATGAAAATTCTTTATAATTATGCTTACTTAAAGCTTTATAATTAAGCTAATTTTGAATTATGAAAAATAAAAAATTTTTATGTGCTTAAATTTTTAATTTTTTTTATTAAGCTTTACGAAAGCTTTTTAATTAAGCTAATTTTGAATTTTGAAAATTATACAAAATTATCTGGTTTTTAATTTTTAATTATTTGTTTAAATATTATCGTAAATATTTTAAGCTTTAAAGCTTTATAAACAAAAATTATTATAATGCTATATGCAAGCTTTTTTATTAAGCTTATTTTGAATTTTGAAAAATATAAAAAATTTTGGGTTTTTGTATTTTTAATTATTCATTTAAATGTTATCGTAAATATTTTAAGCTTTAAAGCTTTATAAATAAAAATTATTAGTAGGCTATTAGAAAGCTTTTTAATTAAGCTAATTTTTAATTTTAAAAAATATTACAAATTTTGAGTTTATAAATTTTTAAATATTTATTTAAATGTTATCGTAAATATTTTAAGCTTTAAAGCTTTATAAACAAAAATTATTATAATGCTATATGAAAGCTTTTTTATTAAGCTTATTTTGAATTTTGAAAAATATCAAAAAATTTGGGTTTTTGTATTTTTAATTATTTATTTAAATGTTATCGTAAATATTTTAAGCTTTAAAGCTTTATAAATA